ATATATTTATTAAAGATTGACAAAGTGCTAAGCAGTCTAGAACCATAATATATTAAGTTACATCTGATATATTAAATCAGTATTTATGTTTGAGATAGCTGACTATAGTTACTGAATTATTAGAATAGTCACAATGTATTTAATTTTATCTTATAAAGTAATGTCATGATATTTCAGAGTATCTCCTCAACTTACTTTACAAGCCTTGAGGGAGCGTCTTGGTGAGTTCCTTGGTGAAGATGCTGTTGCAGAAAAATTTTTATTTCTGAAATGTATAGGAAATAATTTAGCTGTGGTAAGTTTACTTTTTTTCCCCCCCTTCTGGTTAAAAAAGAACATACTTCAACAAATTATCCTACTTAAATGCTTATCAGCCCAGCTCTTTAACAAACTATAAGATATGTAATCTCAATTAAAATTAATGAAATGGAAATATCACAAAGCATGTAGATCATCAAGGAAAGATGGATTTGGATGGAATGTTTCAGGTGCTAAAATGGTAAGGGGTTTATTTCACCTGTGAATTTCCTTAAAAGGAAGACAAATTTAAAATTTGGTTGTATAGGGGACTTCCAGTAAGATGGAGGAATAGGCTCACAGGCTACACAGATCCTCTTCAAAAAAGAAGAGAGAAACCAATTGACAGGGATATAGAAGATAATCCTGGTTCCCTGAGCTTTGAAAGGAACTATACAGAAATGGATTAGGCATCAACTAGTGGAAAAACCTGAACAAAAACAATGAGTACAGAGACCATTGGAGCAGTGGACTGTCAGCTATTCTGACAGGACCAACAGCCCAAATATTTCCAAGTGGTGGTGGGACCTGAGATCAGGTCTGGTCTCCAAGAGCAGCAGGGATGACTGCTCTGGTGGCCTATGACTAGGAAGGGAAACAGCAAGGAGGGACACAACCTGAGCTGTGGACTTTTGGCTGTCCAGAGGGTGCAGCCATTTTGATTGTTTACAAGCAGCAGCCATTTTGGATATTTAAAGTGATCAAAGGCACAGCCACTTTGAATGTTTATAAGTGGTGGCCATTAAAGATATTTAAAGTGACCGAGGGTGCAGCCGTTTTGAATGTTTACAAGCGGTGGCCATTTTGGATATTTAAAGTGACTGAGGGTGCACCTACTCTAAATGTTTACAAGCAGTGACCATTTTAGATATTTAAAGTGATCAAGGGT